ACATAGTTCCCCCTTACTAATGTATTGATCAGTAACTAGTTGAAGTCTCAAGAGGCAACTCACTATATATCTCCAGAATTCTCTCTTTATGTAGCTCTTTACTCATCAGTATGCTGCTCTGAGAGCTCCAGCCACCTTACACTTCCTGACATCCCAGAGCCACCTTATTTAACTCAGGGAGATCTCTGAGTTACTACTTCATTGTGCCCTGGAAACTCTCTCCAGGCAGTAGGCTGGCACAACTGTAGACCTTACCCTGTCTACCATTTCTTAGGGATCACTGTCCTTTGTTGCCTAATGTCTAATCTCTTGAAAAACAATTGTTTCATATGTTTTATCTGTTTTATCACTGGGTTCATGTAGTACAATAAATTCAGTCCTGTTACTTCACCTTAATTGGAAGCAGAAGTCCTTTATTAACTTTATGAAACTGTGTTGTTACTGTTAGGTGTCATCAAATTGGTGCCAACTCATAGTGACCCTATGTACAACAGAACAAAATACTGCCCCAGTCCTGTACCATCCTCACAACTGTTATGTTTAAACACACTGCTGCTGCCACTGTGTCAATCCATCATGTTGGAGGTCTTTCTCTTTTTCATTGACCCTCCATTATTAAACTTTACAAAGAACCAACTTTTTGTTTATTGACTCTCACTGTTGTATACGTATTTTTCATTTTATTGACTTTTTATTATTTTTTTCCTTGGATTTATTTGCTCTTCTTTTTCTACATGCTTAAATCTATAATATTAATCTTTGTTGTACAAACATTTAAGGTAAATACTTTATACTTTTTTTAATACCAAAGGCTTTGATATTTCATATTTCTGGCTTTTATTAAAGTGTGGTGTGTTATTTCCATTCTTCTTTAATTTGTAGATTATTTAAAAGGAGCGTGCTTAACTTACAGTATTTTAGAATTATTTATATTATCTTCTTGCTATTATTTTGACCTAATTCCACTATTGGAGCCCTGGTGAGGCGCTGTGGGTTAATGCGCCAGACTGCAAAGCCATTTGAACTGCAAGGTCGGTGGTTCAAGCTCACCAACTGCTCCTTAGAAACCCTATACAGGGTCGCTATGGGTCGGAATCGACTCGACGGCACTTAACAACAACAACAATTCCACTATGAGTCAGAACCGACTTGACAACACTTAACAATAACATTCTTTTAATAATGGAGAGAAGTGGTTCATAAGATGTGTTTAGACCAATAACACCAATAGCATTCAATAGCTTGTTATAAATGCAAATTTTCAGAAAACACGCTAAATCTACTAACTCAGAAATTCTCTGGGACCAGTAATCTGGATTTTAACAAGCCCTCCAGGTAATTCTGATGTACACCAAAGTGTTAAGAACTTCTGTCCTAACTTCAGACTGCACCTTTGACTTAGTACTTTAGCATAGTGGTTACGAATTGGGCTGCTAATCTCATGGTCAGCAGTTCAAAACTACCAGCTGGGAGAAAGATGAAGCTTTCTGCTCCTGTAAAGATTCACAGCTTTGGAAACCCTGTATAGGGGCACTATGAGTTGGAACTGACTCCACGGCACATAACAACAAGAACAACATAATACAAAAGTAGCATCAATGGGCTCAAGTGTGGCAGCAATAGTGAGGGTGGCCCAGGATTGGGCAGTGTTTCGTTCTGCTGTGCGTAAGGTCGCTATGAGTCACGTACCGACTCGATGGCATCTAACAATAACAACAAATACTTATTCGTGCTGCCTTGCCCTAATATTGTCATGCAACTCACTTCTACATCTATTTTACACTCACAAGGTATTTTATTATATAACTGTGTTGTTATAAAGAATGTTATTTAGATTGAAGCCAGAATCTGGCTTATTGTTGCTCTTTTGAAGTTGCCTGTTTTCATCCACTGATTCTAAATTTGGGGTTTTTTTTGTTTTTGTTTTTTTAGCGCTTTGATTTTGATTTATCTGATGTGTTTTTCTTTGTATATAATCCTTGTAGGGTCTTCAGAACATCCTGAATCTGTGATCCATTTTAAAAAATGAAAGTACTACTTCTCTATTTCTTTCCTCCTCTTTCCTTCCTAATAACAACTCAAGTTTTATTCACTTTTCCTCTGTCCCATATGTCCCTTAAACTTTCCTCCTCTTTCCTTCCTAATAACAACTCAAGTTTTATTCACTTTTCCTATGTCCCATATGTCCCTTAAACTTTTCTGAATTGTCCATCCTGTTTTCTTTCTGTGCTTCAAACTGAGTATTTTCTACTGACCTATCCTCCATTCTATTAATTATCTTCTTTGATGCATCTAATGTGCTATTATTAAACCCAGTTCTCCATCTCTTAAATACTTGTTTCCATTTATTATATTTGTCAAGTTTTATAGTTTCCTCTTGATCCTTCCATATAAATGCCAGTTCTCTGGTAATTTTCTAAATTCACTTATTTTCTTGATCACAGTTAAAGTTCATAGTGGCTAACTCTAGTTTGGATCACTTCTGGATCTGTTTATTGTCTTGTTCCTTGTTTTTATTTCTCTTATTGATTATTTGGTTCTAATTCCTGACATGCCTAAAAATTTTTGAGTGAATGCTAGATTTCACATACAAAAATTTTCAGAAGTTCCTGGTGTGGTACCTTAGGACAGCACTGGACTGCAAGGTCCTCCTCACAAGCCAGCCACTCCTCACAAACCCTATACAGGGTTGCTATGAGTGGGAACCAACTCAATAACACTTAATAACAATTAAATCTGAGAAGGTTTAACTTCCTTTTGAAAAAGGAACAATATTAGTATATTCACCTTAATACTAGTTGAGGCTGGTTAGAACTTAATCCTTCTGAGATACCAACTTCAAAAGCCTGAAATATTTACCAAGTTTTTCTTCTCCTAACTTGGAAAACCTGAAAAAAAATCGAACTACAATTTTATCTCCCCTTCTCTGCAAATTTATTGAATTCTCGCTAGTCAAACGTCGACTTGAATTTCCTGTGTTGATCCAAACACCTATACATTTAAAGCAAGCAAATGCTTTGAATGACTATTGATTGTATAAAGGTGAGTTCATTTCTGAGCTCTCTCAGGACCTTGGCTTCTTTTCTTAAATCTTGGCTGATTGGTTGCTTCTAACTCCAGTCTGTTTCCCTAGCTAAATGACAGCCCCAAGCTCTAGGGTGTTGCTTTCTGTTTAGCTTCTATCCCCTGCACTGAGAACGGGGGGATTTTTCAGAGCTTAAATCAATGTGTTTCCCCTTTGCTCTGGGATCTGGATCCCTTAATTCTTGGCTGTCTTGTTTCCAATGCTTCCCACCCTTGTTGGCAGTTTGGGAGTGGTATTTTTTAGTGTTTAAGGCCGAAGTGTTAGTCTGATAACAGTTATTCTATCATATCTGGAAGCAGAAGTCCAACAACTCTAGCTTCTTTAACTCCCAGTATTTCATTTAGTCATGAAGTCCAGCATCCTAAGTACCTAATTAGGAGCTCTGGTAGCATAATGGTTACAAATCAGGCTGCTAACCTCAGGGTCAGCAGTTCGAAACTACCAGCCATTCTGTGGGAGAAAGATGAGACTTTCTGCTCCTGTGAAGATTTACAGTCTTGGAATCCCTATGCAGGGATGCTGTGTGTCGGAACCAATTCAGCGACACACCACCACCACCAAGTACCTAATTACCACCACTGTGTATATTTGCTGTGACCTTGTAGAGGGTTTCCAAGCTACAAAATGTTCACAGAAAAAAGCCATTATCGTGTTTAAGCCCTCAGTATTTCTTATTTGAGGTACTGCAAAGAACTGTATTGGATATTCCAGATTCCAATCCTTCTACTTCTATAGTCTGTTACTGTTAAGTGCCATGGAATCAGTTCTGACTCACAGTGACCCAATATAGGGCTTCTATAAACAGTGGCTGGTGAGTTTGAATAGCCAACCTTGTGGATAGCAGTCCAATGCCTATCCTTCAGTGCCACATTATTAGGAATGATTTCTGAAAGTAGAAATTCCTGAACCTCATCCATAAAAGACAGAGTGTCTGATATAATAGGCCTGCAAAGGAATCCTGGAATTTCTACCACTACCAAGCACACAGATAAGACAGGTAAACAGACTTACAGGCAGACACACTCAGCTCCCTAAGAGGTTCTGGTGAAATCATTCCATGGGTTGGTATTTGAGAAAAATCATTATGTTATACCTCAGATGCCAGTTTCCTTTCTAAATTGTAAATCTGATTATGTCTTTTTCCTAATTATGTTCTATCTTCTATGTGTTTATCCATTTTTTAACTACCAAGGAAAAGATCCTATTGTACTATAATTGCACAAGAAAGTGGGTGAGCAGGTATAAGTGAAAGCCAGAGTGAGGAAGAAAGGGCTAAAGCTGTAGGGAGATGGCTAGAACAAGACTGAAAAGGAGTATAAGGAGGAGGAGTGTAAGAGGTATATGATTTCAGAAGATGCTCATCGTCTAGCAGGACAGAAAATAAATGCCGAGAACTAAGTAATTCATGAACTTCTTCAGGGTTTGAGATATGAGATTAAGAAATTATCTTGTAAAGGGAGACATTTGTATTCCACTAGCCACAAGGGTGATTTTTAGTAGTCCTGTTGGTGTTATGGGTTGGGCTGCTAACCCCAAGGTCAGCAGTTTAAATCCACCAGCTGCTCTGCGGGAAAAAGATGAAGCTTTCTGCTCCAGACTCGCAAACTCTAAACAGGGTCACTATGTGTCAGAACTGACTCAACAGCACACAAGTATATCGATCTAATGAACTAAAAGAGTCAAGAACTTAAATTAGTATAGAATTTCTTAGTAAGTTCTTTCCAATTTCTCCTAAGAATTTTCTTCTAACTTGTATATACCCCAAAACATTATGCATTCAGTTGTCAACCTGCCGTGTACTGGAAAGTCAAATGTATATTATCTTTTAAACTCATATAATAAAACTCTATTATTAAAGACAAATTAAATGTATTACTCAATGACATTTTCAAAAGCATTTAAAAAATGAAATTACTTTGTTAGTCACAGTGTTGATTGCCAGAGTTGGAGAGGCACTTCCCGAAATAATACACTCCATTCCCAAAGAATCTGAATCTATGCTATATGGAGTTGAGGCCTAAAATACAAGAACAAAATAAATAATTATTAGCTCATATATCCAGCAATTTTAACACAGTTTGAAGGGATTTAATCAAATTAAACATCCAGTTCTGTGCTTTGATTCTGAAAACAGATATTGGAATCTCTTCTACTTTAATATGCTATTGACCTGATATTACAAAGTTCATTAGTAAGGCTACACCCTAACAAATCTTTTAACTGGCTGTGTGATTAGTTGGCAAAAATTGTAGATACAATTCTGTAGGAGAGATTATCCATACCCCCCTAATATCCATTCTCCCTGTCCTTTAGTAATTTAACTCTAGAGTTTCTGACTCATAACCATCCAGCTGGAGACTGCCTTTTCCAAACCAAAGTATGTTAGTTATAGCTTTGTGACTATGGTGTGACAAACTGAATGTAAGCAAGAGTGACCCAACTTCCGGTTCATGCCTTTAAAAGAAACTTGATTGCCCTCTATTCTCTTTCCCTCTTATTTCAGGCTGAAATACAGAAAAGCAAGATTAGGAGAAACCTGAATGACTTTGTGAAATAGAGATCTTTATAGCTGAAATACTTATGAGCTTGGGTTTTTACCTAAGAAAGCAATCTTTCTGGCTTAAACCTCTCAGTTGTGATTTTATTTGTCTCCCAGTCTGACAGAACATCCAAACACAATCCTGACTAATAAAATTTCATAGACATTGTTTGCGAGCTAACATGGATGTCAAACACAATATAGATGGTTCTTTGAATTTAGGATTTTGGATACAGATTGTGCCAACATAACTCCCTCTTTCAAGAGATATTTTGTACTTCTTTAGTGAACTCTCAAGAGAGTTAAGACTTTGATTTTGAGTATTAAAGAAGGGCTGATACAAATAATTAGTGGCTACGATGCTTGTTGCTGCTAAGTGCCAATGAGTTGGTTGCAACTCATAGCAACCCAGTACAGGTTTTCTGAGGCTGTATATCTTTGTAGGAGCAGAAACCTCATCTTTCTCCTGTGGAGCGACTGGATGGTTCGAACCACCAACTTTGCGGTTCACAGCTAAGTTCGCAGCTAGAGCCACTGCACTCACATAAATATTCCCTCTCTGGCAATAAAGACGGGTGTTGCCACAAACCATCCTACTGCTACGTGCTATGAAGACGGGTCCCACTCATAGCAACCCTAAACAGGATTTCCAAGACTGTTAATCTTTATGGATGCAGAAAGCCTCATATCTTTTCACACGGAATAGCTGGTGGATTCGAACTGCTAACCTGACAATTAATAGCCCAACGATGTATAACCCACTATACCACCAGGTCTCCTTACACACCATCCTAACTATCTAAACATAAATATTTCAAAAATCATAATAGATGAATCCTGTCAAGCACTTAGCTGCTAACCACAGAACAGTCACCTTGAACCCACCAGCTGCTGCACTGGAAAAAGATGTGGCGGTCTGATTCCGCACAGATTTATATAGCCTTGGAAACTGTGGGACAGTTCTACTTTAACGAATAGATTCAATGGCAATGGTTTTGTTTTTGGCTTTTTTCCTGGATGAGCAAGGTAGCCATTTCACTGAGACAAATTCCTGAAATTAATTTATTGATCACATATCCCTCAGCATCAATTTCCTTTGACAGATACCATCTTTTTTTAAACACATAAATTAGATGTTTGTTTTATCCCCAACCATAAGCCCCAGCAAGATATTTATGTTAAGCATATTAAACATGCTATCCCAATTTTTTTCATGTTGCTGAGAGTAGCGAGCTTACAAAATTACTTCGGCGAAGGGCATGTTTGGCAAAACCATATAATGTGTAAATTATCTGTATACAAAAACAATAATATATGAAGCTAGGGAATTGATATCTTAATGAACTTTAAAAAAAAAAAAAAAGGAAATACAGAGCCATCCCTGAAAGCTAGAATGCAGCACTCAGGTGATGGTTACACATTGAGGATGAGGCAAAAATAAAAAAGGGGTTCATATGGTTTCTACTCCACAACAAGTCTGTCTGTTTGTTGTACTGTGGTGGCTTGCGAGTTGCTATGATTCTGAAAGCTATGCCACCGGTATTTTAAATACCAGTACGGTCACCCATGCTGGACAGGTTTCAGATGAGCTTCCAGACAAAGACAGACTACGAAGAAAGAGTGACGAACTACTTTAGAATATTTAGTCACTGAAAACCTTATAAAGAGCAGAGAAACACTGACAGATAAACTGCTGGAAAATGAGCCCATCAGGTTGGAAGGCATTCAAAATGCAATTGGGGAAGAGCTGCCTCCTCAAAGTAGAGTTGACGGTGATGACACGAATGGAGTAAAGCTAATGGGAGAAAAGCCCACAAGACCTTCATTTGCTTATGGGCACAACTCAAAATGAAGAGAAACAGCTGTAAACATCCGTTAATAATTAGAACATGGAATGTACGAAGTATGAACCTAGGAAAGTCAGAAATTGTCAAAAATGAAGTGGAACGCATAAACATGGACATTTTAGGCATTTGGTGAGCTGAAATGCACTGGTATTGGCCATTTTGAATCTGACAACCACATGGTTTACTATGCAGGGAATGACAAAGAGAAATGGTGTTGCAGTCATTGTCAAAAAGAACATATCCAGATCAGTCAGGAGGTATAAGACTGTCTGTGATAGGATAATAGCCATGCGCCTCTGGGGAAGCCCAGTTAATACCACCTTTATTCAAAATTACACACCAACCACTAAAGAGGATGAAATAGAAGAATTCTACCAACTTCTTCAGTCTGAAACTGATCAAACATGCTTAAGATGTATTGATCATTACTGGGGATTAGAATGCAAACTGGAAGGAACAGTAGAATAGTTGGAAAATATGGCCTTGGTGATAGAAATGTTGTTGGAGATTGTATGATAGAATTCTGCAAAACTAATGATTTGTTCATTTTAAATACCTTTAGAAAGCATAAGAGACAATTATATATACATGGACCTCACCAGATGGAATACACAGAAATCAAACTGACTATAACTGTGCAAAGAGACGATGGAAAAGTTCCATATTATCAGCCAACACAGGGCCAGGGACAGACTGTGGAAAAGACCATCAATTGTTCATATGCAAATTCAGACTGAAGCTGAAGAAAATGAAAACAAGTCCACGAGAGCCAAAATATGACCTTGAATATATCCTACCTGAATTTAGAGATCATCTAAAAAACAGATTTGATACATTAAACACTAAAGACTAAAGACCAGAAGAGTTGTGGGATGACATCAAGAACATCATACAGGCAGAAAGTAAAAAGTTATTAAGAAGACAAGAAGGAAAAGGTCAAAATGGATTTCAGAAGAGACTGAAACTTGTTCTCCAGTGTAGAGACGCTAAAGCAAATTGAATAAGGAGGTACAAGAGCTGAATCGAAAAATTCAAAAGTCAGCTTGAGAAGACAAAATGAAATATTACAACAAAATGTACAAAGATCTGGAGTCAGAAAGCCAAATGCTCAGCATTTCCCAAGCTAGGTAACTGAAGAAAAAATTCAAGCCTCGACTAACATTATTTTAGGATTCTCTGGGCAAATTATTGAATGATGCAGAAAGCATCAAAAGATGATGGAAGGAATGCAGTCACTGTACCAAAAGGAAATGGTTGATGTTCAACCATTTCAAGAGGCAGCATATGATCAGGAGCTAGTAATACTAAAGGAAGAAGTCCAAGATGCAGTGAAGGAATTTGGCAACAAGGCACCAGGAATTGATGAAATACAAACTGAAATCTTTCAAGAAAGTGAGGTGGCACTGGAGGCACTCATTCATCTATGGCAAGAAATTTGGAAGACAACTATCTGGCCAACTGATTGGAAGAGATCCGTATTTGTGCCCATTCCAAAGACAGGTGACCCAACAGAATGCAGAAATCATCAGACATTATCTCTGATATCCCATGCAAGTAAAGTTTTACTAAATGTAATACAGAAACAAGTGCAAGCATACATTGACAGAGAATTTCCAGAGGTTCAAGCTGGCTTCAGAAGAGGATGTGAAATGAGGTATATCACTGCTGATGTCTGATGGATCTTAGCTGAAAGCAGATTAATATCAGAAAGATGTTTCATCTGTGCTTTACTGACTATGCAAAAGCTTTCAATTGTGTGGATCATGACAAGCTATGGACAACATTGCAAAGTATGAGTATTCTGGAACACTTAATTGTGCTCACGAGGAATCTGTACATGGACCAAGAGGCAGTTGTTTTAACAGAACATGGAAACACTGAATGATTTCAAATTAAGAAAGGTGTGAGACAGGGTTGTATTCTTTCACCATACTTATTCAACCTGTATGTTGAGCAAATAGTCCGAGAAACTGGGTTATATGAAGAAAAACGTGGCATCAGGATTCGAGGAAGACTCATTAACAACTTGCCATATGCAGATGACACAATCTTGCTTGCTGAAAGTGAAGAAGACTTAAAATATTTACTAATGAAAATCAAAGAGCACAGCCTTCGGTATGGATTGCATCACAATGAAAAGAAAACAAAAATCCTCACCACTGGACTAATAAAGAACATTTTTATCAATGGATAAAAGACTGAAGTTGTCAAAGACTTCATTCTTCTTGGATCAACCATCAACATTCATGGAAGCAGCAGTCAAGAAATCAAACGATGTATTGCATTAGGCTAAACTGCTGGACAAGACCTTTTTAAAGTGTTGAAGAGCAAAGATGTCAGCTTGAGGACTAAGGTGCGCCTGACCCAAGACATTATATTTTCAATAGCCTCATATGCATGCGAAAAGCTGGACAGTGAATAAGACCGCAGAAGAACTGATGCTTTTCAGTTATGGTGTTGGAGGAAAAGACTGAAGGTGCCAGGCACTGCCAAAAGGACAAACCTACCAGTGTTGGAAGAAGTGCAGCCAGAGTGTTCCTTGGAGGACAGGATAGCTAAAGTTCATCATGTCTGGTAAGGTGGAGGGTCATAGAAAAAGAGTAAGATCCCTAGTGAGATAGATTGGCAAAG